TGGTTCCTTCCCGCCTGGCCTGGCGCCAGCAGTTGCCAAGCAGTCAAGCTATTCCCTGCAGGCTCAGCCTGTGAACGGTCGTCTCTTTTAGGGTTGGTCCTACCTCTCAAAACTCAGGTCTAAACAAAGTGATCTCGCCTGTCCCAGCTGAGGGGAAAAAGAAAAATCCTTTTGATGGGTGTTTCCCATCTTCTTCTCTGCTCCTTTCCTTTCCCCCTTTTTCATGCTCTGGCTTGGCTCGGCTCGGCTTTTTTTTTAGCTCACCTGCTTTTTATTCCAGGAAAGCCCTTGAACCAGGTGGCCCCTCCTCCCCTGCCAATCCTCTCGCAGTCTGAGGCCAAGAACCCGCGCATCAACCAGCTCTCGGCACGCTGGCAGCAGGTGTGGCTTCTGGCCCTGGAGCGGCAGCGCAAGCTCAATGATGCCCTGGACAGGCTGGAAGAGGTGAGGATCCTCTTCCGCACACGGGCAGGGCAGCCTTGGACGAGGGGCTGGGGCTGATCTGAGTTTCAGATACACAAGCACCGCTGGTGCATATCCCTCCCCTCCCCAGCAGCTGCCACCTGGCCCTCCCTGCCTTCCCCGTTCCCAGCCGCTTGCTCACCTACGCTGGGAGCCCCTGAAAAGCTGACACCTCCTAGATGTGTTGGCCGTTCCTTGGGCCCACTTGGAGGTCTCCGGCTGCAGGAATAGCCCATGAAATAAGTGTCACCTTCTGCCACCACAGGAGTTCCTGGTCAGTTCCAGCAATAACAACAGGCCTAAAACTTGGCAGTCAGTACATTTTTTTTTCTGTTGTCATCTCACAAAGAGAAAGATGCAACTCCCACAATTGTGTCTGAATGCACAGAACTGACTGGGGGGCAAAAAGGCTTTCCTTTTCCTTTTTCTAGTACTCTCATTTTTGGCAGATGACATTCCCACCCCACCCGCTCACACATAGACGCAACCCCAAGGAGCCTCCCATATTCTAATGATGCCCAACTGCGGGAATTCGGAGACCTTTCAGGCAGTGATGCCTGTGGCCCTGGGCTGGTGCAGGGAAGGATATATCTGCTCTTGATCTTGCAAGAAAGTGTTGACTGCTGCTCCCCAGTGCTTTTCAAGATGGCCCATTTTGGGGGTCTTCTGGCCTTACAGAATATGCTTAGAGGGATATGAAAATCACCTCCATTAGTTGCAAAAACTACCTTGAACACAGCCTGGGTTGACTCAACCCAGTAAGCTTCAAACCTATCCAAGGTTAAGTCTAGCAAAATAAGCCCAAGTTGGGCCAATGGACCTGAGGTGTCTTTAACTGACCAATTAAGCATTTTATAATAATAATAATAGTAATAAAGTTGGAAGGGACCTTGGAGGTCATCTTGTCCAACCCCCTGCTCAGGCAGGAAACCCTATACCATTTCAGACATTATGTGAACAGAGCACATAATTTTTTCTCCTTCTATTTCCAAGTTGAAAGAGTTTGCAAACTTTGACTTTGATGTATGGCGGAAGAAATATATGCGCTGGATGAACCACAAGAAATCCCGTGTGATGGACTTCTTCCGGCGGATTGACAAAGACCAGGATGGGAAGATCACCCGGCAGGAGTTCATTGATGGGATCCTGGCCTCCAGTGAGTGCCTGCTTGTTCCAAGTCTTGCTTTGCTTGCTGGGCAACTGGGCAGCAAGAAGGGTGGCTCCGTGTCACAGAGGTTTTTTTCTGTCTGATCACCCCAAGGCACCGGGCTTGTTTTGCACAGAGGCAGATGGCCATCCATACCTGGCAGCCAGGTTGACTTGCAGCTCAAGTGCTGGAAAGCTGCAGGTGGAATAGCAAGAGCACTTAGACTTACATACCGCTTCACAGCGCTTTACGGCCCTCTCTAAGCGGTTTACAGAGTCAGCCTATGGCCCCCAACAATCCGGGTCCTCATTTTACCAACCTCAGAAGGATGGAAGGCCGAGTCCACCTTGAGCCGGTCAGGATCGAACAGCTGGCAGTCAGCAGAATTAGCCTGCAATACTGCATTCTAACCACTGTGCCACCATGCAAAGTAGAATAGCTGAGGTCTTCCTGCCTGATGCACCAGTTTGTGCAGGGATTTCTGCGTATCTCACAGTGGTGCCCCTCAATCAGTTAAAGTGGCATCGTTGGGCTATGGAATGTGTAACTTAATGGAGGCCAGGCTGTAGCTTCATGGCAGGTGGGAGTGGGACCTCAGCACCTCTCTTTGGTTCCCCTTCCCTCTGTCCCTGGAAACTTTACCACAAGAGAAAGTCTTCAGTTCCACGTAACCTGTTTTTATTGTGGCACACTTGGTTGTCTTTATGTTAATCCAAGATAATCCAAGATGCCCTTAGGTGGTCCCGAGTGGTGCTCATGGCCAACTAGCCATTTTCCACAGCTGTTGGGGCTGGGGGGGGGGGTAGCATTGGCCTAATGATTCTGCAGCAAACTCAGTAAGGCAACAAAGGCTTTTTGGCCATCATTTCCTCATTTCTGCTTATGTCAGTATTAGGAAAAAATCCAAAGCCACATTTCTGCCCACTTCACACCACACACAGGATGTGAAAAATGATAACTCCGAAGCCAAGCACTTTGAGCAAGCTGTGTCTTGCAAGGCTACTTAAGCCCCCGTCTCTGTGTCTCTCAAAGCCGAGGTGAAAGTCACCCTCTCGCTCGCACCAGTCGGCCAGGCATCCGGCCATAACTGGAGTCAGACGGAGTTTCCACTCTGCCTAAGGTCGCTCCATCTGCTTGTCTTGTTCCCCAGAAACAGAGGCTGTGCCCCTGCTAGAGAGGCCCCCTTTTTGCCCAGTTTGGGTAGGGAGGAGGCCGTGCCCGGGAGTGGCAGGGGCCCATCATTTCGAAAGCTTCACTGAAGGGACTGGCATCCTTCTCTCCTCCTTCTCTTCCTTCCCCAGAATTCCCCACAACCAAGTTAGAAATGACGGCTGTCGCTGATATCTTTGACCGTGATGGGGACGGCTATATTGACTATTATGAGTTTGTAGCTGCTCTGCACCCTAACAAAGATGCTTACCGGCCAACAACAGATGCGGACAAAATCGAGGATGAGGTAGGGGTTTGGCTGAGGGACTCGGGGCGGGGGGAGAAGAGACAGTAAACTGGGCTCTGCAGGCAACTAGCTCCCTGTCGCCACTGATCGAGATGGTGCATTGTCGCTTCTCTCCACAACTTCCTTTCTTGATAAATTCCTGGGGTTTTATGAGAAAGACGTAGGTGGAACTGCAGTCAGTAAACATTCCTCCCATTTACTGCTCCTTGTGGGCCCCTTTTCCCTTTATTTCTCAGGGATGGAACTGTTGAATCTGGGATCCCCTTTCTCTTGTGGGAGGGCTGTGCAGGAGGATATATCAAAGTCATTGGAATAGAGTAATAGATTATTTTCCCCCAAAGCAAGGATTACATCCCTTCTTCCTCTGCCCCCCTCACTTGGCAGCCTTCCAGCTCTCCCACTCCTCCCAGATATCTCCCCCTGCCTTTATTTCCCCACCCATTGTGTTATATCCGCTGGAATGTTCATAGTTTAATCATAGAACATGGAATAACAGAGTGGGAAGGGACCTTGGAGGTCATCTAGTCCAACTCCCTGCACAAGCAGGATCGTCTAATTGAGGCACATTCTTTTACTGGCAGATCATCTTAATCAATAGGTACTAATCATATGTGAATTTATTTTGAGTCTGCATCCTGCCATTTTTTTAAGTGTGGCATGCAAGTGCAGCCAGGGTGGGTCGCCTGCCCACCGTAATCGGGACCGGTTTCCTGCATCTGGCGCTCCAGCTTGAGCAGGGGCAAGCCAGGGGCAGCACAGGACCTCCGTGTTGGTGCACTTTCCCTGCCCCCACCCTTCATCACTCTATTTGGTTGGACCTCTGACATTTGGCGTCGCCCTTCTTTGGGGCAAACGCAGTCTCGGCCCGTGCTGTACATTGAATAGGAATGCAAGGCAGAGAGGCTGAAGCAGGGCTTGAGCAGCGTTGTCCAGCCAGAACTGGCCAGTTGGTGGTAGCCCAGCAGTCCGAGATCATCACACAGCGGCAAAGGCTGCCAAAATAGGCAGCCACCCCTTTGAAGCCAGAGCGGAATGGGCGCCAGGAGCACCGGGTGGCTTCCATCCCGTGCAGAGTCAGCTCTCTGCAGCAGCCAGTTCCTTCCTGCTTCTTCCTTTCCAGGTGACAAGGCAGGTGGCGCAGTGCAAGTGCGCCAAGCGATTCCAAGTGGAGCAGATTGGAGAGAACAAGTACCGGGTAAGGAGAAGGAGCCAGGGTGGGGGCTGTCTGTGATCTGGGGGGCCTGCCAGGGCACTGCCCTGTTGTGGGAAGGAGACACGCCCACCCTGTCAGGAAGCAGGCTCTGGCGCCCACAGACTGGACCCGGGAGGGTGGGGGGGGGTCCATGGTGCTCTGCAAAGAGTATAGAGAAAGCTGCTCCCATGAGCCTCTGTGTTGGGGGGGGGTTTGTTCTGCCTCATGGTACAATCCTTTCTCATTTTCTTTCTGGATGCTCACAGAAAAATGGGTTCAGAAATGGGATTTTATCCTATTTCTGATTTTTGTTTGAAGCTCCTCGAATTTGCCCTCTGTCTGAGCTTCTCGTGTCCCCTGAGCTGACTGGATTTTAGCCAAGGCATCAGTGGAGATTCTTGGTTGTCCCAAAGGTGCTTTCTTCAAAAAGCAATTGGACTTTATTTTTCCTTGAAGACGTTTCGCTTCTCATCCAAGAAGCTTCTTCTTTTGGAGAAAGCACCTTTGGACCAGGGCCAAGCTTGAGGAGCTGCTTTGGGGGCCATTCTTGCAGGGAGGGCGGGGGCGGGATGGAAACCATGGCCCAATCCCAGAGTTTGGCACAAGGTCCTTGGGGCCACTCGTGGCCCTTTCTGCTGGCCGTCCTTTGTTGTAATACTTAAATGGAGGAGCAGCAGTTTAGCAGTACGGGAAGCACAGAAAACAGTGTCAGCATTGTTGCCCTGTGTGATGTGTTCTCTCTTCTCCCTTTCTCTTCTCGTTTGCATCTCCTCCTCTCTAGTTCTTCCTCGGCAACCAGGTACAGTGAGTCTTGCAGAGCTGCCTCTGCGTTTTCCTGTAGCTAATTCTCCTGCCAAGATGTGCATGTATAATTTGCGTGTCTGTTTCCACACCGGCCTTTTCATAACTGTGATTGTTGTGCTTGTGGATGTATTAACTTGACAGAGTTGCTGGTATATACAGAAATGTAGTGAAGCAACCAGGCAGTGACCTCCAATTATAAAAATAAACACAGAATCACACACACACACACACGGAAGTTGGACTGTCCTGCCAATGAGCCAGGCAGAAATTCTCAGAAATTCCAGGAAGAGTTAAAATAAGGAAAGGGCTGGAGAGAGCAGCTGGCTGGAGTGGCCTGCTCGTCCTCCTCTGGTTCCAGATGCTCCAAAGTGGCCGACCAGAGGAACCGGAGTTCAGGGCTTGGGCCGTGGAAACCCTCTCTCCCAGACTGAACCCCCCCAGCAGAGGAGGGGAGCTTTGGCTGAACTTTCCAACCTGTCTCGGGAAGCTCAGGGACCCTCCCTCCGAATCAGAGTCCCCATCTAGCCCGACCAGGGAGCCGCCCTGCAGCTTTCCTCCTGTCGGGTGAGAGCTGGGGGTGGCTGAGCCAGGGAGTTTGGCCCAGAGCTTTGGGCTCACTGCACAGAATTGCACGTTTGACCAAGTATTCTGTATATCGGCATCTTTCCATGGGTTCCTGTTAATTTTCCATTGCTTTGGAAATGCAAGTCCCTAATTCCTCTGGAAAACTCCCTTCCATAAATGGCACTAAACCTCCAAGCCACCTGCAGGGCCCTCTCCACAAGACTCTTGCTTCAGGCTGAGACAAACCACAGCTGCTGCAGAGCTATTCCTGGTTTCATTTCTGCCTCCCTGCCCAGCTCAGTGTCACGTCTGGTGGCCTGATTGGGGAGGGGATGGCAGCGAATGTCAGCAGTTGACCTTTTTTGGCCAAATCCAACACAGCAAATGAAATTTCAGTTTCTTAAATCAGTTGAGGGGGAAAATGGTAATAGCTTATCTGTTCAGGCACCCGGAATTATGAAGGGATGGAAATGATGGTTACATCTGTAGGTCCTCAACCCCTGAGATGTGACAATGCCCTCTTTCCATCTGAAATATTTGGGGGAAAGAGAAGACAGTCTGTGGAGCTAAAAAATACCCCTGGGGTGGAAGCTGATGGGAACTCAAGTTGCCGCTAGAGATTAAGCACACGGCTTCGGTCTGGGGCGTCCCTGATCGTTCAGAGCAAATTGTTGGCTCTGCTTGTGATCCTGGCAATTAATCAGTTAATCGGCACTCTGAGGTTGCTGGTCCCTCAGGCACTGTGTGGCCGGGCCACCTGTCTCTGGCTGCTGCCAATCACGCTTCTGCAGGTGGGGAGGGGATGCCATGCTGGAAAGCTTTTTGGTGGAGGGTTTTGCTCTCCTTCCTGATGAGACTGCAGCCCTCCAGTCACTGGGCCCCCAGCTGGTCTCTTCCAAAGGGGCCGGATCAGGTGACCTCCGAAGCCAGGTTGCTTCCAAAAGACTCAAATCTCTTGAGGAGAAGTGCAGAATCCAGACTTCTCTGGCCGTCCAAGCAGCCCAAATTGGCCCAAAGAGAACGGCCCTTCGGGGTGCAGCAGATGTGGGCAGCTGCCGAGCAGGAGAGAGGCCTGGCCAGGAGCCATGGAGCTGACCCCCCCCCACTCCCCCCCAATCGTCTTTTGGCACCTTTCTCATGCAGCATTTTGTGCCTGGCTGGGATTCATTGTTTCTCCTTGATCACAAGGAGGCCTTGGCTTGGGGTCCAGCAAAATGGGCTTCTGGCCACCCAGGGTCCATTGGATCGTTCCGCTTTTTTAATCATTAAAAATTTAAGAAATTAATTATTAAGAAAGACGGTAATTAATTGATTTAATAAGAATAATACACTCAATCAAATTTATGATCCTTTTATAAAACAATTGCCTCTGTCACTTTCAAAGGCAAACTGGGGTGGGTGGTGGGGAGCCCCAGCAGCTCCTGCTGCAGTGTCTTTTGGGAAGAGCACGCGTGCCTTAGTACGACAGCGCAATTAAACCGGCTCCCTCTTTGCATCTTTGCGACAGTTCGGGGATTCCCAGCAGCTGCGGCTGGTCCGTATCCTGCGTAGCACAGTCATGGTCCGTGTCGGTGGAGGATGGATGGCTCTGGACGAGTTTTTAGTGAAAAACGATCCTTGTCGAGGTAGGAGATGCATCTGCTTCTTAATGAAGGTTTTTTCAGGGAATCCTCAATCCCGGTGACTGCGGGGGAGCTGCTCTGGGGGTGAGCCTGAGGGGCCCCAGAAGATCAGCCCAGGGAGCGTTGCTCAGCCTCAGGCCTGTGAGAAAAGGAGCCGCCGGCACTCTCAGCCACGAGCACCAAGGGGGCCACGCCCAGACAGGAAGCGCCTTTCTCTGGGTCGAAGGTCCCGGAGCCCTTTTGCCCGCCCGCCGTTCCCAGGCCGCCCTGCATGTCGCATGAAGGAGCCCCCCTCCCTCCCCTGCCAGCTCCCTCTTCCTCGGGCACCCTGCTGCTCCCTCCGGTGGCCGCACCTGTTTCTTTTCTCTGTTCTAGTTCACCACCCTGGGAGTAAAATCAAACGCTCCGACTCCAGCTCTTCAATTGCCAGTCAGTCTCCGATAGGTTGGAGGTTTTTCTTCCCTTTCTCTGACTGCCCTGTTGGGAATGGCTTTGCTGCTCTAACCCGCCTCGGTCGGTGCCGAATGCTAGAGCCTGCACTGTGCTTGGCCAAGGAAGGGGGTGCAGAGCTCTTGCTGGCCAACTGGCTGGAGCTCTTCCCCCTCCCCCACGGGGTCCACTCCCCCACCACCACCACCACCACGTCCTCCGGCTCAGCTTCCCCTCCGGGGTGGCCCCGAGTGAGGAGCGGGGTGTGAGACCCTGTGTGGATGCCATGTGCTTTCTTGCACGCTTCCTTCTTTGCTTTTCTGCTCCTGGAAGTACTTGCTTGAACGGACTGAACAAAACATAAAAAAATAAAACGGAATTCAAGAAGTTAGAAAAACAAATGGAAAGTAACAATAGCAATAAAAAAGTTACATTTGCTGATTTTTTAAATGCAGGGGAAGCATCCTCAAACAGGCCTTTCTTGCAGATGCTAACACTGGGCAGATTCCTCACAGGAGGAGAGTTCTCCCCTCAGGAACCCTCAGCCGCGTGGATGGCGTAGTTGAGGACAGTCTGAAGTGCTCCAGAAGCCCTGAGCAACCAGGGCACATGGCTGACTTCAGCCTTTCTGTGATCTCTATGGCTGTGTTTTAACACTGGTCGCAATTTCTGGATACTTGCCAAACTTTGGCCAGCCTCCCAGCAGCCCAGGTATCCGAACTGCCAGGATTCTCCAGGCAGCAGGGCTAATGTGAAAATGTTTGAAGTCCACCCACTTGAATGACACCCAGGTTGAGGAAGTCTACTTCAGCCCCGTTCCCTTTCTCTCAGGGACAGAAGAGAGATTCTTTTATCCTTTAGTATCACTTCCTCCTCATGTTGAAATCTCAGCCTGCGCCGGTTTGGGTGTCTGTAATTCAGAAGTACTTTACCAGAAGCCAACAAATTCCCTTTCCTTGGTCTTTGGAGTTGTGGTGTTTCCGGCAGGTTCATACTTGCCTTTCCTCCCAGTGTTTCTCCTGAACTTGGCTGGATGCTTCTGGTTGGAAAACCTCCACTGTTTTCTCTCGCCTGGCGCCCTCCAGGTGTCTGGCTGAGAGTTCTGGGCTGTTGAAGGCAAACTTATGGGAAAACCCAATGGAATGGATGAGATGGGAGGGCTCTGTGCTTCCAAGCCCTTTTGACTTTGTGATTGCCACACTCCTATGGCTGTGCTGTGGCCAGTTGTTGCTTAGCTCCCCATGATTCCAGAACAAGACTCAGCACTGATCCTACAAGGCTTTTGCGCAGTGTGGCTTACTTAACCCAAATACCAATGTGTGTGCTTCTGTTGGTTGAGTTTTGTATTTTCCAAAGACTGTAGATTCGGTCAACACATTTGCTAATAAGACGGGGGTGGAGGGCATTTCCAATTTTTTGATCCCACCAGTTAATTTTATTCCAGCCTTTGGAGAACAAGAAAAACTTTTCAGGTGAGAGTATGGGCCAGTGATTGCCCCTGGCAAGATTCCTTTTTCTGGATTCACAAGGCATTTTACATAGCCGATGCAAGCCATCTAATTCCAGTGAAGAGCAGATTCTGATTGACGATGCATTGTCTCATGGCCTCTGCATCTCCCCCCAACCCCCAGTTTCGATCCTTCTTTTTTGCGACTGGCCTTGTTGGGGGCAGTGGGCCTGCTTTACAGACGGACCCAGGCCTGCCTCTCTCTCTCCAAAACATCCACCCAGCCTCCACAGGTTTCTTGCCACTGGTCCACTGGCTTACTGCAATTTTAACTGGCTTCTTTGCTGGACTGACAGTGAGAGAAGAAGTTAGGAGAGGAGCCCCTCTTCGGCATGTGGGACAAAGGAGGGGCTATCAAAAGGGAAAGGAGTGATGCCTGCTCTCAACTGCAAGGTCATATATCTCCACCCCTTTCCCAAACCTGATGCAGTCCCTGAAAACCTCTAGTGAGGCACACTGGCCCAGAGGGCAGGCGGGTGGGGGGGAGTGGCAGCTGAGTGGTTGGGGCTTTGCATGATGTCTGGCCTGCATCAAGCGAGGGGGGGGGCTTTTCCTGCCTCGTTCAGTAATTTAGAGGGCTGAAGGGGTCTTTTTGTCCGGCTGGAAGAAAGGAAGAAACAGACTGCATGTCTCCAGGCCATTAGTTGGTTCTTTCATTTAGGTATCTCCAGCTTTGCCATCCGTATTTTATGTTCTTCTTTTCTTACAGCACGAGGCAGGACTAACCTTGAACTTAGAGAAAAATTCATTCTACCAGAGGGCGCATCTCAGGGAATGGCACCATTCCGGTCCCGTGGCCGGAGGTCCAAGCCTTCCTCTCGGGCCGCCTCCCCCACACGGTCCAGTTCAAGTGCCAGCCAGAGCAATCACAGCTGCCCCTCGGTGCCATCCTCTCCTGCCACACCTGCCAGCGGGACCAAGGTGAGAAGCAGGCTCTTTCTTCACCTGGTTTCCTTGGCAATGGGGTCTTTTCCCTCAGCCTTGAAAAAACAAAGGGCTTCTGAAAGTCTCTGTTGAGTTGTGGGGCAGGTAGCTGGGGAAGGCTGCTTCGTCTCAACCCCCCCCCCCAAGCCAGCCCCAGAAGCACCACAGGTGGGTCCCGTGATCATCTCCTTAGGCAGAGGCTGCAGCCCAGAGGGGGGCTCGCTCGGCTGACCTAGGGAGCCTTTTCACAGCCAGATTGTCCTGTCCAGGCCGGAAGAACCCTCAGTTCCATTTGCTCTTCTTCCCCTTTGACCTTTCAGTTTGTGCCTTTCCAACGGCTCCACATTCAAGAAGGTGGGGAGAAGAGAGGAAGGCTGAATTTCTCCTCTTCTTCACACCCCCCCCCAAACAGTTGCTAGTCTTCCCCACAATATGGAATATGGTTTTTTCTTGAGCTTTTTACCAAGACATTGAAGTGCCACACAGTTCTGTGCCCTGTGTCAACCTAGTTTTGTGTTCATCAGCTGCTGCATCATCATCATCATCATCATCATCATCATCATCATATTATTATTATTATTATTATTATTATTATTATTATTATTATTATTATTATTATTAATCTTATTATTTTAGGATTTATATCCTTTTCTGTTTTATTTCCTTCTGATCTGGTCACTCCTCCCTCCCTCTCTCCCCCCTCCACTCATTTTGTTTGCCCTTCCCGTCCTTCAAACTCTCTTTGGATTTTCCATTTCACAGACTCCGCATCACTTCACCCGTTGTTATGACAAACCCTGGTTGGTAAACAGCAAGGCAGGTACCCCCCTGAGGGGCTGCGATAATGCCGACCTCCACCTGTCTGCTTCTGAGGTAGAGTATGGCTCCGGTGGGCAAAAGGGAGGGCTTGAGCCAGCTTCCTCTCTCCTGCTTGCTGCCCCTCGGCCAGCCCTCCTGCGCTCCCCACACCTTTCTCGGCAGAGGCTGGCTGCGTTATTATTTAGCCTGCGGCACGTCACACATGGACTAGCAGTCTAAATTAACATTTCAACTAGATTAGTAAAGCCCAATAAAATATAAATATTAAAAAGATCTGTGTTCAAATACTGACGTCTAGGCCATCACACCATTGAAGCGCAGTATCATTTATATTTTTTAAAAATCGGATACTGGACCGGTATATGCCCTCAGCGTACTGTACAGTTTGATGTGGGACCCCCCAATCACACTGAGGGGAGGTTACTATGCCCCGTTTATACAGAGGGTCCTGGCAGATGCTGTGTGGGGTGCGAATTGTCCATTGCTGACGTAGTTCAAACCTCGGCAGGTGGGGTCACGGGGTCATTTATATGGCTTCCCATAACTGGGCGTTCAGTGGCCCATTTGCCTTAGAGGCTGACTCTGCAAAACATCTGAAAGCCCAACAGGCACACTCAAAACCCCAGTTTGAGGCTGTTCCTCTTTTTAAGATGATGTTCTTAATTAAGAACCTCTTCCAAGAACCAAGAGGAGAAAGCTGCCCAATCTTAATAAAAAGGATGTAATAAATACTGGGGTCTTTTTTAGAAATAAAGGTTGGAGAACAAAATAAATTCACACTTGAATAATAAGTGTCTTTTAATTTGTGCTTAACTATTACTTTCCTCTAAGTGTTTTTTAGTTCAGGGTAGCCATTCTAGGTGGGCCATTCTTTGTTTTCATTTCCATAGCAACTTCTGCCTCTCCCCCCCCCCCCCGGGTAAGTAGAGTGGAAAGGCCCCTCAGGAGGGGCCTGGGCCTGGGGGGGGTCAAACCGTTTATGCCACCTTGGCAGTTCAGTGCCGTGTTGCGGATCCTGAACATCCTCCTGGTGCTGGCAGAGGTTGTGGTGGCAAGGTCCTCCGAGAGAAAGGCCTGCCTTCATTTTGTTTCTGTCAGACATTTTAGAGAAAGGGGATAAACAAAGAGAAATAAAGTACAAGAACAAAAAGGTAACATGCCAATAGTAAAATGCAAAGAAGTAAACAAGGGATCTAGAATGCCATGGATATTACAATTTCCCAATGTATCATTAATTACCCAAGAATTACAGCATATATTATATGACTTTAAAGCACTAAGAATCACTATTAAGCTTTCTGCTAAAAATGCAGCCTAGGAACTGTGGCCAACACAAGTTATAATAAACAGAATCTGAAGTCATAATACTACATGAGGTATGTGTTCAAGTTACAGGTCCAAGCACTGAATTTTACTTCAGATTTATTTTATGATAGGGAATTATTTTGGGCCCCGAAGCAGGCTCCCTTCCCTGGAAAGACATGATGGGCCTCAGCTCGTGACCCACGTCTTCCCTGGGGGGACCCTAATAGGGATGCACAAGCAGAGCGAACGTTCTTCCTTCTTCTAAACAGGCGTTTGGAAACTGACTTAAGCCTCTCCAAAGCACCCTTCCCCAAGGCAAGGGCCAGCTCTGGCTCCTTTTTTTAATTATTTCAGCAAGGACAGCAGTTTGATTAACCAGCTCAGTTTCCTCTGGCCGGCTGGCCTGCTTTCCTCCCTGGCCTCCGAAAAGAGTGGTGAGAGTGATGAGGCAGGGAGGCCAGCATTCAGTTCGCGCATGGGACATAATCATTTGCTTGGCTTGAATTCACCCAACATGCTGGGCCAAGCCTCCCCAAGGCTTGTCTCCTCTTTGCCTTTAAGACGCAGAGGCCTGCAGCTGCTCCTGAAGCACAGGGGTTCTCTGAAGCTCTTTCTGTGGCTCCGTAACAAAACTTGATTGCCTCTATCCCAAGGTTGCTCTCTCCTCGGCCAGCAAGTTGAAACGGCCCACTTTCCACTCCAGCCGGACGTCTCTCGCTGGGGATACCAGTAACAGTTCCTCGCCAGCTTCTTCCGGTGCCAAAACCAGTCGAGGTGGTAAGTTCCAAGCTAGATTTGGAAGCACCCGAGGCAAATGCTCTGGGTTGGGAAGCCCAGCATGGCCCCCCAAACCACTGGTAGACCACGCATGGTCTTCCGTAGATGCCCAGGAGGAGCCAAGCAGAATTCTTTTTTCGTCTTATTTTTTGGGGAGGGAAGGTCGAAGGCAGTGCTGTTAAATTCCTTCAAGATTCCCTCGCAGTGTAAAAATTTGTTTCTGACTTTCAGATCCTAAGAAAACAGCCAGTCGCCCCACCAGCCGTGCAGGCAGCCACGCAGGCAGCCGAGCCAGCAGCCGACGAGGCAGCGACGCTTCTGACTTTGATCTCCTGGAGACGCAGTCGGCCTGTTCAGACACTTCGGAGAGCAGCGCAACGGGAGGGCCAAGCGGCTCCCGGCGGGGCCTGGCCAAGCCCTCCAAAATCCCCACCATGTCCAAGAAGACGAGCGCGGCCAAATCTCCGGGCCCCAAGAGATAATACAGCCTTCACGCGATGTCCAGCTTTGCACAGAGAACGGAAACCTGTGTGTCCAGTTTTTAACCCTGCTTCATACATTGGATGTATATTTATTCTACGTGGGAGAAATTATATTGTTAAAAGTGTAAAAGAAAATTGTGTTATGAAGCTGCCTTATTTGGTTCTCTCTTTTTTTTATAGTTTACTTTTTCATGTGAATATTTATGTAGATAAAACTTGCCTTCTTTGCAATGGGGGCCCAGGGGAAAACTGAACATGGGAGAGAAGCAAAAGGTCAATATGTGAAAATGTAAAAACAAACAAATTATATAAATAGGATTTCTGTGCAGTGCAGGAGAAGTTCTTGCATTATCATTTAGGATTGTTTCCTAAATGCATCTTTATAAAAATTAACTTGCTGTTTCGGCAAGAGAAATTATATTTAAAAGCAACATCTGAAGATCCAACATAAGAAAGGAACTTTCTTTTTCTTTCTCCTTGTAAATCACAGATACCTCAATAAGAGAGAAATGCACAGTGAGGGGGCTTGTTTCCAATTTTAAAAATAAATTCTTATGGTTTTACCTGAAGATAGTTTGAAAATGGACCTTTGCACATGTTTTTTTGAATAAAGAACTTCACTACAATACTGTATTTTGCAAAAGGAAAGTCCTGTCAGGCTTTCAAAGAACAACATGTTGTGGAATTACAACAGCAGAACCATTGTAGGGAGGTAAAACCATGTGGTTTTAGCAGTGAGAGGATCTTAAATTTGCTTCTGTTTAGCCACAAGATAACACAGTTCCAAAAGGCAAACTGTGAGTGAAAGAACTGACTTTACGTTTTAGTTCACAGACTGCAACGAAATGGCTTTCTTAGGCTGGCTCAGGCCTCTCCAGCCCGCAGGACCCTGCAGGGTCTCTGCTCTGGAGCAGCCAGCGGCCTTTGACGCCCACCACCACGTGCTCCTGGGGAGGTGGAGGCGCATCACCAGCAGACCCTCTGGCTCTGGACGCCCCTGGTCTTCCTGTATTTATTCACTTGTACTCTTGTCCCTGCTCAGACTGACCACATTGCTGTGTGATTCTCTCAGTTGGTTTAATTGAGCCAGAACCGGAAGCTCTACCAATGAATTGTTTAAAAACAAACACGTTTTGTATTAAAATTGCTTGCAGTAATAAAAGTGAAGCAAAGTGTCTCTTATTTTATGCCGCCCAGAAAGTTGGAAGAGACGAGTGATCGGAGTCCTCCCGGGAGCCCTCTGTCCTAAGGATGCCTGAAGCACCCGCTGAAGTGGGATGATTGGGTCGCCCAGGCTGATGCCAAGACCAAGCCCTGACCCACCGCTCGGATTCATCTGCTTCTGCCTGATCAACATCTTCAAAGAGCTGAAGGCGACTTACCCATTTAATAAACGATTAAAGTATACCTGCTCCCCTAGCCATAAGGTGGCCAGCCTGGGATCCCACCAATTACGGAGAAGGCTTGGCACCACCTCACAGTTTCAATGTGCTCCTGTGGCCAATAGGGGCAGCATGTTGCCAAGCAAGCCGCTTTGGGGGATACCAGAGTAGATCCCCCCTCCCCAAAGTCCATGTGCAGCAGCATCCTCCATCAGCGTGGCCTGTGTGCGCTGCAGGTATCTGCAAGCACCAAGACGGAGAAGGCAACTTCAGGAAGGGCTGCAGGCTGGCGCCATAAGAACATTCCCAACCCTAAAGAAGCCTGACGGATGGCATGGAGAAGCCTGGAGCTGAGGCTGATTCTGGGATGCCAGAGTGCCTGTGGGTTCACTCGTGTTGCTAGGAGACGGGGGTTTCAGAACCGGACGCCCTCCCCGTGATTTTTTTCCCTTTCACACGGTACAGGTAGTCCTCAATGTTTGACCACAATTTAGCCCAAAATTTCTGTTGCTCAGCGAGACATTTGTTAAGTTAGTTTTGCCCCATTTCACAACCTGTCTTGCCGTGGTGGTGAAGTGAATCGCTGCACTTGTTAATAACGGAGGTTACGTGAATCTGGCTTCCCCATTGACTGCTTCCCAGAAAGTCGCAAAAGATGATCACATGACCCCAGAATACTGCAACCGTCATAAATACGAGTCAGTTGCCAAATGTCTGGATTTTGACCACGTGACCATGGGGATGCTGCAACTGCCATAAGTGTGGAAAGCGGTCATAAGTCACTTTTTTCAGTGCTGTAACTTCGAACACTAACTGTTGTAAGTTGAGGACTGCCTGTATATCCTGCATGGTGTTTTCAGCTAACAGTGGCCACCAGGAGGCCCCACACAACCAATTTTGTCCTACTGGGGACTCTTCAGATGCAGGGAGCCAGCTAGACACTTCCTGTCCTGCCTGGTTGAGAGTTTAAGAATTTGGAAAGCCCCAAATAGGACAGGAATTGCACCTGTGATGCTTCCTAGCTCTTCCTCTTTCTCCCTCCTGACTGCCACTTCTGCTTTTTGACTACAATAAAACAATCCACTACCTCCATGCATGCATCTGATTGCCCTCTACCTTCTTCCTGGACTTTTCCAAGGAGGGGGACACCCCCTTCTGTCCGAGCCCCTGGTTCTAGTCTCAGACTCCAGGATCTTTTTACTGATTGTTCACTTGGGGCCACAGCCAATTCATTACTCTGCAAATTAGTTTCCAAGTTCCTTTCAGGGATGTGAGAAGTGCCGCTGTACAATTGCAGCCATCTTTCCTCATAGTTGCTAAAAATCCTTTTTGGCTGCTCTGCTCAGAACACCTCAGTCTCCAGGAGCTCTTCCAAAGATCAAGGACAAGAACCCGGATGCCAAAACCTGCTCCAGAAGGCAGGCCAAAGGCTGCCCTGTCCGGCTGGCCAGTTGATTACTAGGTAATGTTTCCACCAGTTTCCCTTGAGCAGCTGCTCAGTTACTCGGCTTGTGGCCATTAAAAAATGGTCTTTGTCACCCACATCCGCTACCTTTCCACTCAGTGGGCAACTGAGACATTTTAACCAGGGACATTTTCCATTAGCCCACTCCTTTCGACATTGGGAATTAATACTGCTTGTTGCAGAAATGATTCCTGAGTTTTGAAGCAAAACTAACAGAATGAGTTATCTAAGTGTGTGGTCAGTGAGTTGTCTTCCAAACTCTCCTGCCTCTCCAACATTTAGTTGAGCGCTTGGGGGAGCAGCCTCAGCCAGTCCAGGCACCTCCCTCCCCGTTAGCCTGGAAACTGCAGCCAGTTTCTCCTGTGCTGCTTTCTCTTTCAGTGCTCCCAGCATAATATGCCAGCAAATTACAGATCAGCATAAATGTCAGCCTGGTTCATAGAACGTGCTCAGCCAACACTTAGATTCCCACAACAGTTGGATGCCCTTCCCTGGCTCCTCCTCCCCCTCCTCCTTGCTGAGGGCCAGGTTTAACTCCAGGGCACCTCTAGGCAGGCAGGATCCATTCGGGTGGGCTTTCGCCCTTGGGACTGATTTTGATTCTGTGCTGTCAAGTCGGGGTCAGTTCTTAGCAACCAGATAGATAGATTTTATCCAGATGGCTCCGTTCCCCAGCTTGGTCCTCCAACAGTGCACTCCTTGCCACCACAACCTAGTCCAACTCTGCTGCTGTTCCTCCTCTTTCCTTCCACTTTCCCAGCACTGGAGCCTTCTCCAGAGAGCATAACACGTCCAAAGTAGAAAAATTTGAAGCTGGTCACTTGTGCCTTCACTGAGAACTCTGGGTGATTTGTTTGATTTGGTCCATTTTCATTGGTCTGTTTTCTTGGCTGTCCACAGAAAGGAACAGAAATTTATTTCAATCATTGACCAATAATAATATATTCAGTAAAACAAAGGAAAATTATCCTCTCGCATCAATGACTGTGGGCAGCCATTTATGGGCAAAGCTTGTACAAAATGTAGCAGAATTTTGCTACTTTTCAGAGAGATTTATCCTGGTTGCCTAGTAAGTACTGCAAATACAAATAATGCTGCTCTTCCAAAGTCCATAGAGAGTCAGAGGGAAGCAAAACCTTCCTTGCTACCCAACTGTAAAGCGTAAGACGGCCTCAGTGGAGGCAAAAGGGGCTGAAGAATTTTTCAAGCCCAGAAGAGAAAACGTGGAAGTGGCTCAGGGCAGCCGCCTCGCTGATTCATAGGAGGATAAGAAGGAAGTTCAGCACAATCAGATTTGAAAAATTTGATTATTGCAGACAATCTCAATAAAAGTAGGTTTTAGCCTTCTGGGAAGTTGATCTCCTGGTCTGGGCAGCCCAAGGAGGATGGCACCGACCAGCCCTGCTCAGGTCCAGGACCTCCCGGGAGGGGGGCAGGATTCGGACTCTTCCTCCTCGACCCTCTCCCTGAAACATCTCCTTCGGAGGCGGACCGGCTGATTGGATTCGGGAGACGCCGGAACGACTTCGACTACCGGGAAACTCGAAACGTGTCCAGTCACTCCGCGGATGGAGCCCCGAGGGACCGAGGGACGGAAGGCGGGATCGGAGGACGAGCCTCAACCGGCATCCCGACTCCGGCAGAGGGCGGCTCCGGGCCTGGGCTCCGGCAGGGAAAGGAGTCCCGGCTGCCTGTCGGGGAGGGCAACTCCCCGCCCTTCCCGGTCGCCGGGGCCGTCGGAGGTGTAGCGGGAGGCTCGGCCCACGTCTGCGGCCGGAGCTGGAGGACGAGGTTGGACGGCGGAGGCCGAGCGGGCAGGGGCCGCGACGTGGCAGTGATAACGGCCGGCTAGCTTGCCTCGCCGGCCCTACCGTCTGTCTTTACTTGCCCTGCCCGCGGACGCCGCAACTGGGACGGGACGGGGCGGGCGGCCACCCAGCGCATCCGACGAGCTGGATCGCGGCCCCCGCCCGCCGGCCTCCGTCTCCGCCTCCCCCCGCCACTTAAAGGGCCGGCCCGACGGCCGCGGCGCTCGGACCCACCTGCGCTGCGCGGGCGCCATGCGCCTCTCGTCGGGCCCGGNCTGTCGACGGGAGCGCGAATGCCCCGCGAGGCCTCCTTTTCCGGAGCTTCGCCCTGAGCAGCGAAGGGCCGGGCGAGCTCTTGGGGGGCGCGGGCCCAGGAGGGATCCCAAAGGCCGGGCAGGTGCGGCCTCCGGAGGCCTCCGGGCCGGTGCGGGGTCCCGGCGGGGTCCGCGGTCCACGCCTCGCAGCGTGGAGGATGGAGGCCCGGTCCGGGTCGCTCCCGGGAGCTCCGGGCTCAGCCCTGCCCAGGCTACGCGCGAGGGCCCGGGCGTTGGGGGAGGGGGCAGCCTTCGTCCTGGTTTTTCGATTTGGTGGAGGTTGGGCGGACGAGGCAATGGCGTTCTCTTACCGGGATTTAAGAACCGTGTGAACCCAGCTGAAAAGCGTGGCTCATTTTCCAATTGGAGGTGGAAAGAAGCCCAGAGGGTCGGGGGGGGAGCAGCCCCCCCTCTCGAGAGGGCCCCGCGGCTGGCTGTCAGGAGGGCGTCCGCGTGTGGTTGGCAGAGGGGGCGGCCCTTCCGCGTGCGGCGGCGAGAGGGTCGGTCCTGGAACGGCTCCGGGTGGGCTCACTTGGGGCAGCTGCCCAATTGACTGCGGCGGCTTTGGGCGTCCCCAAAGCTGGGAGGAGGGGAGCTCCCTCTGCCCCGCCGGAGTCCCCAGTCAGCGAGAGCCGGCATGAGGGGCCGTAAGGGGCTAGACTAGCAGGTGGTCCCCCCCCCCGTCCTCAGCAGGTGTAAGCAGCCGCCGTGGGTGACTCTGGCCAACCTTGGAGACTGCAGGCAAAGAGGGGGCGGAATCTGGTCGGGCCTGCTCCTGCCCTGCCGAACTGCTGACTTACTGAAACACATCTGGGCAATCCGGGAAGAGCAGCTGTTCCCTTGCCAGCTCCCCCTTGTTGGGCTGGGCTGCCTTTTCCAGCTGATTCTCTCTGGCAGAGGGGAACCTGCCCTTCCCTGCCCTGCCCTTCCCTGCCCCTCCCCTCTTGAACTGGGTTCAGTCTGATGGGACGGTCAGAGGCAGGAGACGCCAACGGGGGGGGGGGCTGCTGTTGGGGTGGAAGCCACGCCAGGGTCTCTGCAGGGCAGGTTGTGTTTTGCCAGAGGTCAGCTGGGAAGTTAATGAAAGCACTAATGCCTGCACTGAGAAGGAGCCTCTGCAGGAGGTGTAGTGTGTATGTTTGGGTGGGGGCAACTCTGAGCTGCCCCATCACTGGGAGCTGTTGTCTCCAGAAGCAGGACTGGGAAGGGGGGGCTGCAATGGGTTCTTGCCTGCTATTTCTGCAGCAGATTGAGTGGTGCCCTTGCCTGGCCCTGGCCTGTCCCAACAGCTGATCTGGCTAGTTTCAGCTTAGGCAGCTCCAGGCTCCGAGATCCTGCAATAACTGCACTTGGGGGGGGGGGAGTTGTGCATTTGCTGGGAGTGGGGGAAGAGGATTCTGGGAGTAAGCAAACCTGTTGCAGAGCCCTGGAGCTTCAGGGCTGCTTGGCCTCCAGCCCAAGGAGAGGCTTATCTCCCCAGGATCACCATGGGGCATTGGGTCTTTGACCTTCTCTGGGGAGGAATGACTCCCTGGATGGAGGATTAAGGTTTACAGGCAAAGGCCTGATCCTTTATTAGGGGCACTACACTGTGCTGGATAAAAATGGCTGTAATGTCACTGACTCAGTAAAAGTATTGCTGGGAGGGAGGAGGTCCTGAGTGAACCAGATTTTTCATAAATCTAATTTCCTCAGCATCTGATCTGTAAAAAGCGAACCATCTCTGTCCTTGCATCCAGTCTGTGATGTATAAAAGATGTGTCCCAATTCATTTACAATTAATTAACAATTGTTAATTAAACAATCAGTGGAACAGCTCACCTTCAGAAGTTGTGGGTGCTCCATCACTGGAGGTTTTTAAGAAGATACTGAACAGCCACTTGTCTGAAATGGTATAGGGTCTCCTGCTTGTGTGTGTGTGGGGGGGGGGGGTTGGACTAGAAGACCTGTAAGGCAGGGATCCCCAACCCCGGCTCACGGCCCACTAGTGGCCCGTGGCCCGTTTGGAACAAGCTGGAACATGCATGAACAGCAGGCATCTGCCACTCACATGGAACCATCCCCTCTCTTTCCCTCCCCCCCCCATCCCGCTGTCTGCCAAGTTGGAAAGGTTGGGGATGGCTGCTCTAAGGTCCCTTTCAATGCTGTGATTCTGTTGTTCATTTCTCTCCCAAATTGCTGGTCTAACTTTGCTGAGACAGAAAGGTTAATTCAACTGGCCAGCCGTCTCCAGTGACCCTTCTCAGAATTGCTGTGTGGCTCTTAAACAAAAGTATTTCTCCTGGGGGGAGGGCAAAATAAAGCAACCCTTCCCACAATAGCAGGAAAAGAGAGAGCCCACGGTGAGATTGCTTCCAGAATCACTGCCACCACAAACCGATCTGTTGAAATAAACTCTTTGCTAAAGTCCAGCCTACGCTGTCCTGTGCTCCAGCATATCAATTTATTCCTTTTAGAATTATTTGTGACTATTACTTATTTCATTCATTTATATGCTGCCTCCTCCTAGTTAGTAAGGCTGTCCCTTTTAATGGTTTAGAAGTTATAATTCACTGGCTTCAATGGAGTATTAGGAAAGTCATGAGTTTTAATATTTCATTAAATTATGAAAGTGGCAATTGCAAAAATAAAAATCTTACTAATTTTGCATTAGTTAAAAAAGAAATCCCCCCCCCCATTTTGGCATTGCAATGCTTCTTTTTTTCTGGAGCAAACCCCAAAAGTAAAACCAACCAACCGACTCCCATCCCAAGTAGATTCTGGTGTATTTCTCCATCTGCAACTCTTCCTGTGCACATCAAAGCGACCGCAGAGCAGGCCTGCCTGTGGTGACATCCCAAGAGGAAAACATTGTTCTTGCATCAGAAAAACAGCCAACGGCATCTTAGACTTAGGATGCCCGTCAGCAGCCTGGATTGCCAACGGAAATGGCAACTGTATTGTGCTGCCCATCTCGGCCACAAGAACGGCAGAAGCCTAACGCCAAGAGGAAACTGAGGTTGTCTTCTGGGAGCAGCTTTCTGTCCACGGAAGATATTTTTGGGAAATGAAGAATGTGGGGGAGCCACCCAGTTTAATCACTTGCTTATGTCCTCAGAATGGTGAGCTGGGCCTTCCAGGAACAAGCTGGCTTGAATTTTGGACACCTCACCATCTCCAATGGAAGGTCCTCTGTGGAAGGTATTCCTGTGTTGCATTTGCCCCCTCCCCAAAAAAGGTGCTCAGCAGGGGCAGCTGCAATAGCCCCCCCCCTTCTTGCAAAATCATCAGATCTCTGCAAGGGGTCTCATGCCCGGCTCAGCCGGGCTGCACCGTTCCCAAAGATGGGGGCTCTTGCCAGAAATGTGAAGGTTTTCCTGCCCCCAGGAAGCTGCAGTCAGTTCCCCTGAGAATGGGTGAGCATTCAGCCTCCACTCGGCCGGCTCCTGCTCAACCCTTCCCTGTGCCACCCTCACCTCCTCCCCCTGCAGCATGTCTCCTTCACACACACACCGCCCTCCCCCCAGAGCCCAATTGAGATTCGTCTGACTGCCACATTAAACCCTGCGGGGAAAGTATCTGCATCTGCTCCTCCAGTGGTTTGCCCCCAATATCCGGCTTGGGGGGGGAGGCTGCATTTGGCCATTCTGAGATTAGAATAAGGTCTCCAGCCTTGGGCAGGGGGCTGGACTAGAAGACCTCCAAGGTCCCTTCCGGCCCTAAGGTTTCCTCCTTGTTTCCCTTTTAGCCCTTGAGGGGGCTCTCTTTCTCCCTCTGCCATTAAAGAGCCCCTTTCCCTTGAAAGGAGGGAGGCTGCAGGCCCTCCTCACCCAGGGGGGACGTCGGGTCAAAGGATGCTCCAGGCCTTCTCAGGGCTGCCTCAGGCGAGCTGCAGCTGCTGGGACCTGGCTGGGGCCTGGGAAGGCGTCGGGCAGCAGAGCAACTCCCTTCTCCCCTCTCAGTGGTCCAGGAGGGCTTGGAGGGAGGCGGGTTGTCTCTGCCCACCTGAGGAACAGCTTCCCCTGACATGAAGCTCCCGTGAAGGCTCTCTCCAAGGTGGAGGCACCGGAATGCCTTTGGGGCAGGCCCAGAGGAAGCGGTTTTGGGTCTGCCAGGCCAGATTGTTAATCTCCCTGGGATTTCAAAAGATCCCCTGTAGAAAATCAGCCCCTGAGTGGGGGCTGCAGGGCTATCAGGGTCAGACACGATGAAGAAAGTGGAAGCAGTTCTGGATTTCCTGTTTTCATAATCCCAACTTCTGTTTTCCCCCCTTAAAAATCAAGATTCTAGCTTTGTACAGTAGTTGTGAAGACATGGATGGAAAGATTTCAGGAACTTGAGGGGTCATTAAGGGCTGCAGTTTCTCCTTAGCAAGGTAGAAAACTCAGGCTGAGGAATAGTTGGCATTGCTGGTGTGTAGAATAAGTCCAGGAGTTGTGCTTTGCTTGCAGAATGGAGGAATGAGACCCCAGCCAGCCAGCCAGCAAGGAAGCCTCTGAAGCCATTTCAGGGGTGCAGCTCCTCTGGCAGCCCCTCGACTTGCCCTCATTCATTGGGGTGGGGGCAGCAATCAAAAGCTGCCTGCTGCTGGGGGGGGAGGGATTTTGCAAACTTAAGGCCTGGCGGACTCTGCTCTCCCTTCCAGGCAAAGGCTGCGTTAGCATCCCTCTTGGCTTTGTTTCCGCTAGATAGAATTCCTTCTGCACCTCATTCCGATTATTTTAAGGCTCCCAATTCTTTATGTGGTTCAGCTTACCAGCATTTCCTTTTAATTTAGCATCTCAAAAAGGCACATGGGGCTCTCCAGGGCATCTGGGACTAGTCTAATTGCAGTAGAGGTGTAATTTACAGAATAAAATAGTACACACAAAGACGCACACATACACACACACAGATACACATTGAGATGGTGGGGCACATGGCTAAAAATATAATGAAACTGGCAGAGAAATAAAATTCATTTTGTGTGGATCTGCAGAATTTTTTTTTTAGTATGCACTTTAAAAAGCGTATAGAGAATAAGCAAAAATAAAGCTTTATGCTGTTAACTGCTAACAAAATGATGAGCCTATGTGCTAAATATGTGCACTGATCATAAGATTCC